CTACGTCTTGGAATATGACCCAAATAAGCATTTTCACCGTATATTGCCATCTGAACAAGTAAGTAACAAGTCTGCCACATTTGTTCTGACCAACTGAGGGAAAAAGCATACAATAAATCTCGCTACCAATGGTGATTAAATCTAAAGATCGGTTAGCTCATATCACATCAAACCGTGCAAATTATTATTATTGTTATACTTTTTTCTCAAATTGTTAATGTTAACAACATCAGCATTACGTGACTATGTGTATAGTGTGTATTAGCGTGTAGATATCGATTTCTGTACAGTCTAATCTCTAATTGTCATACCACTCGAATTGCATATTAAGAAATTCTGTTATTCCCGCTGCTGTGAGAAAAGGCTATAAATGATCGGCCACCTGCAGGATCCTCACATGCCATAGCCTAGTAGCCGGGACAACTTCTTTATGTTTACATACATGACGTAATGACGCAGAGCCATGCTCGAATTTCCCACGAATTCCTACCAGTACCACTCAAATTACAAATCTATAAGCTAACCGATGTGAATCTGGATTTATGTTTAAATTAAAATGATCATTATAGCTTAAATTATAAGCTAACCGTTGTGAATCGGGCTAAAGTAAGGCGATAGTTTTGAACACTGGCTGGTTATGTACTTGCTCAAATATTGATTTCGGATCATTTTTAGCCAAAAAAAAGTTACGGACTGCAGCTTTAACTATTGATTTCATATTTTAAGTACTTCTGCTTCTGATTTTTACCCACATATCTAAGGCTGATGATACACGGGGCAACTTTTTGAGCAATTTTATTGGGCAACTTTTTTTGAGCAATGTTGCTTGGGCACTTTCTCATTTAGGATGGCTAACAAATTTCTATCTGGATACTTTAGATCGGTCGTGGGCCCTGTCTCACCTGGTTGCCCATTGACGGCAACATTGCTCAAAAAGTTGCCCCGTGTTATCAGCCTAAGACAAAACTGGTTTGCTATTTATTTTTTACTCTTTTCTGGAAGCCATCTATTACTGTAATTATGAACAGGTACCACATGTACACTGGAATTAAGTTTATGTACTTCTTGCTAACATAGAAATAGCAGATGGTAATGAGTACAAACATTTTCTTTCTGACCAGAGTTAAGACTTTATGAAATTGTGGTCTCTAGATATGGCTTGAGTTTATAGGATTTTTACACTCACTTCATCACCTACTAGGCAAAAGTTTTAAACAGCACATCTCTCCACAGCAAACCACACATTTTGAGGTACCTTTCATGCCCATAGCACAAATGTTGTAGGATGAATTAAGCACTGAAGTGCTGTATTTAGGGGTATGTTTCAACCCCTAACCCATCACTATGAACTATAGTAATAGTGATAGTGATGATATGTGGCTTAGCAAGTACCAACAATGACAGCCAAAAACTACCCAAGTTACAACAAGCACCAAATGACAAAAACTGAAGGGCACACACACACACTTAAACTCATAATAAAATAATAATATTCAATATTCTGGACACAATCACGGTTGGAACAAGAAAGTTTATAAAGGTTGCATAAAGTTGAAACCAGTCCATGCAACTTTTTAAAGTGTTTAAAAGTTAAACGCAAACGTTTGTTGGTTTGCCACAGCATGAACACTAGTTCATTGGCCTTTTACCTTGTCATCTGCTGCTGTTTTGTCTTTCTTGTCTCCATCTTGCTTTCCTAAAGGATAAAGTGTGACCATTCAAAATATCTTTTTGGAATTAAAGAATATATAAAGCCGGTATAAACTGTTTAAAATGCGAACTATCTTTTTTCTTCCTCTCAAAATACCAGAATGAACAGGCCAATCTCATATTGTTAGGCGAAAGAGATCAATAAGCAGTTAAGCCTGTGATTATATACTGTATATTGCTGTCAATAGGTGTAGTGTTCTCTTTCGTAGTAACTCGGGCTTGTTGATGGCACAGTGGGAACACATCAGTGGTCACATGCTCTGAAGTCCTACAGAATCACAACAGTTTTCTGGTACAGTTCAATGGTACACAATGCCCATAAGTAGCTATGTCATCATAGCCTACTGAGCGCAGGCTTTGTGTCATCATGTCAGATTCTTCAGTGCCCAGATTGTCTCAGCCCATTATTCCTATGACTAACTGGAAGGGTCTACCTCTTTCATGTGATTTATTATTGGTGACAACATGCTCAGTATGTATGTTGCCTGTTTGGAAGTTTGTTGCACCAGGGCTGCATTGGAGGGATCTGATTGCCCGCACTGCAAACTTGTAAATGCTAACTTCTGTGCACTGATGTTAGCAATACTCTACAAAAGCAGCGTTGAGAGATGAGCATTTGGGCATCAAGCTCTCCAGACTGCCTGTTGAGTTCACTTGAAGGTCCCTGTTTCCCAGCCCTGAAGCACATTCTGCGGTTTCCTATAGGCTAGAAGACAAAGAGCAACATGGTATGTCTATGATGGAATTAGAATCTGTGGAGTTCACTGGAGGCCAAGCTGAAGGCTGACTGTGACGAGTGGGGGCGGGGCCGGTGGAGTAATTGATAATGAGCGACACCTGCACCACTCACCGGGCTCGAGTCCCACGGAGGAGCTCCGGAAGGATAAAAGGAGGAGCTACGACAGTGAAAGAGGAGAGAGGACCAGGCCTGGACTTTATGTTGTGTTTTGGTTCTGTTTGTGTGCGACAGTCGTCCGCGAGGGGCTGTCACGCTATTTTGTGTTTGTTTATTTTATTAAAGTTTTCTTTAAGCGTTCGCCGGTTCCTGTCTCCTTCTTCCCGTGACTACGAACTTTGTTACATTGGTGCCGAAACCCGGGAGGAAGGAGGGACACGCTGCCAGAGATC